AGTAACTTTTGCTAGATATACAGCAGAAATAAGATCAGAAATGCCCTCCCCACCCCCTCACACCCCCCGCCCCAATCCAAAACTAAGATTGCTCAAATGTAGCTAATTGTTCAACTTTGAGCTGGGGAAACTAGTGTCAATACAGAAGTAAAAGATTTTGGAGGGGTGAACAAATCCCTGTGAGTAACTGAGACTTGCAACTCAAAACCTAAGTTAATACTTGGAAAGTTGGCTGTTGAAATACGGCAGAAAAACAGTGCTTTAGATATGTCTGTAACGCACTTAATGCACAACATTCATGTTTAAATGTGGAGAGTTAATAGCTTAAAACATGAGTTTAACTCCGCAGTCATGGTGGTAAGTACAATTTAATGTGGTACTAATAGGTGGATACAGCTAAGTAGCATGAAGGATTTGAAGAGAAGACTCCAGGAGGAGGGCTGTGTGGTATAAATACTGAGCTTACTGTCCAGGAGTAGCAAAAAGCTGAATTTTACTTTTTTTCAGCTTCAGGATTTATTATGAGAGTATGAATATTTACAAATTCTATTCATTGCTCCTAAATTCTAAAATCCTGGAATCATGTACATTCAGTGGAAGACAAGCCTCATACATCACCTAGTCCGTCACAGGATCACTGGCTAATTCAAGTTGGAAGGGACCTCAGGAGGTCTCTTTTCCGCCACCTGCTCAAAGCCTGCCCCAGGCCCCGTTGCTGTGGGCTTTATCCGGTCTAGTCTTGAAAAACACCAAGGATTGGAATTGCCCAGTCTGAGCAACCTATTTCACTCTGACTCTTTCTCTTTGTGAAAAAGGTTTTCTTTACATCCAGGCTGAACCTCGCTAGTTCTTTCTTGTCCTGCCACCGTGCACCACCATGGCTTTGTCTTCTCAATAATCTTCTCGCTGGTGAAAAGGTTATTAGGTCCCCCTGAAGCCAGGCAAACAGCGCTCCACGAAGTGTAGTGTTCTACTGTGTAGCCTGACTTGGCTTTACGCATAGCTAGAGCTTTATCTTTCACTGCTTCCCAACAGCATGTAACATATCACCGTCAGGAAATTATTACCAGTACTCCTCTCATACATTTCTTTCTTGATTTCATCTTCTTACTTCATTTGAAATGAGCATAAATGCTATGATCATATTGTTAAGCAGGTTTTTAGTGGAATGGGTATGTGATCTTGGCCAGTAGTTAACAGAACTGTGTCTAAGCAGGTGACTATGGTCAGAATCAGAGCTACCAAATCAAGGAAACTGAAAGAAAGACTAAAATTGTGTGTCTGAATCTTGTCCTTTGGCAGTTTTACACTGGTGAATCTCTGTTGACTTCTACCACATTCCTGTTTCTAGTTTGAGAACTAAAAAAGGTTTTTTATATCCAACTCCCAATGTTGGGCAGTCCATATGGAATAAAAAGGGATGAATGAGCCCCTGCATAATTTTATTGATGCATCCTGAATTACCTTAGTTTTCAGTTTAATGCAGAGTTTTGTGAATATCCTTTGCAGATGCATTTTAGTTATGTTAAGTATTTTTAGGTAGGTATTAAGAAAAGAATTAGTGTTTAAAAACGGGGAGGGGGAAAATCCCGACAAACTTGTAGAGTTTGGTAGATGATATAGATAGATGAGAGAACTCGCTTGAACATTTCCAGGGGTGGTAGATGATGCCTTGATATCCATTCTTTTCATTGTGCTTTTACACTACATTTGACAATATGCTTTTTAAGCAGTGAGCTGTGGCCTTGATATGTCTGCGGTTGTGTTACATTCAGAGCAGACCTTCGTATTAATTGATAGCACAGGGAAAATTCTTTAGTGTGCAAATTGTTTTCCTTACAGGAAGAGTTTAAAAAACAAAACCTCTTGTAAAAATTCCACTCTATACCAAAGAATTTTCAAGGTGTTTATCATCGAAGGGTGAGACTCTGAGAAAAGAACCTTAGAAGGTTATGAACCCTTGCGGAAGTGGTAACAGTGTACAAAGGACTCAATTCTTGTGTATCCTGTTTTCTGTAGTCTTAGGAGAAACTACGTTGTATAGTATTTAAAGCAAAGGAAAATCACATTCTTAATGCAATTATTAAAAATGGCCACTTGGATGGGTTTTAGTGATCATTTCATAGACTGGATATAGGAACATGGCTGAGCATATCAAACAGCAGCCTCTGTGAATGTTTATTAATGAACTCTTGGAGCGGTTTGAAATTGGATGTACCAAAGGCATGTGTACTCTAGTGAGCAGCTGTCTCTGGTGGTGAACTAATCTGATGAGGGGAAAAAATGTGTTAGAGAATCTTTGCAATCCAAAATCAAAATCTTTCACCAACATGAAGAGAGCTTTATTGTAACCCAACATTTTGTACTGCAGAGGAGTGACGTTTAAAAATTTTTGAATAACAAGTCTTTAAACAGCTGAGAAGGAGAGGGAAAAGAAAAAGATGTGAAATGGAAGACTGGAAACAGCAGAGAAAATTATTTAAAGCACTTTGACATCCATGAAAGATTATAAAGACATCCTGAATGTACAATTGGGGGTATGCAAAAGGTGCTGGAAGGAACTTCCGCCAGACTTTCCTTTAATGCCTCTGCAGAATAACAATGAAGTAATTCATTACAGAATGCCTCTTTCCTGAATTCTTCAGCTGGCTCAGCCAAAGGTTTTAGGAATGGATTGGTTCCCGTGAGCAGAAATGCCAAATATATCTCTGTTTGGATATAATATGTTGAATGGGGGACAAAAGGCTTTGGACTGCCTTGTGCATACCTGCTACTGTCGACAGTGGTCAGTGTTTCAATCCTGTGTCCTTTGTTACTAGGACAAGAAAAAATGTGCGCATGTATTGTTTTATCACCCATAACCACTGTGAGTTGCCTTTCGTTCTTTAAAAATTAGAAGTTGTTGATAAAGCAAAATCGTTTGGAAAAGTGTATATACTGTATAGATGTAGTCCCTGAGTAATCTAATAGTTTTCATCTACAGTGGAGTAGATTTTGCTTTCTTCATTGCTGCTAGTTTATTTTTCTTGGTTAAAGAAGACATCACGAGGTGGTTCAGGACAGTGAAACAAATCCTTTTCTGCAGCATGCTTATCAGTCACTAAACCCTTTTGCAAGTGGCTCATCTGTAAAATAGCATAGCACCTTACCTGCTTTTGCAAAATATTTTGAAAGCACAGTGTAATTTTAAGGAATCCATTGTGTCTCAATAGATGTGTCCTCCTCATCTTCTGTGATGTAGATCTTAATTTTGTCAGCACTTTCATCTCTTTCAGACACTTTGAATGATCTCGCTCACTTTCTCTTGGCTCACCTTACATATTAACTGAATACGTTGAGATTTGTTGATGAGAATTATTCAAAATATGCTGTTGCATTCTACCAAAGCGTTTTGATTTGGATCTTATGGACATTCACTGTACAATATACTTACTCCCTGTAGATTTATTAAATTCCATTCCACCATATTATTATGTTGCTAATATCATGTTTCCCATTTTTTTAGAAATAAAAAAACTATCAGGTAGTGGTATGGACGTCTCTCACATACTGTTTTAAATTGCAGTTTCGCACTGTGTCTATCTTTTGGACGGATATTCAGCCTGCTACAAAAAGATGTAAATCCATTGCCTTCAGTGAGGCTGGCCCTTTTTACACTGGCTGAAAACCTGTTCTACTCTATCCCTGCTGTTGCTCCTTGCATTTGTATAAGTACAAGAAGGTGCATTATCAGACACTATAGGCTGCAAGCTTAAAAAAAAATCTTTAAGAACCTGGGAAGTGTGAATTGTGTGCTCAAATCCTGTAGATTGAGGTGAGACTTAGTCTTAAGTCTAAGAACGGGATGTTAGATATTCTGTCACTCTGTTGAACAGATGTTCACTGCTAGATGGCCAGTGTGAGATGCTGTAGACACTATGCGCCTCTGGGTTAAAAATGTTTGTAATGACAAGTGTAACAAATGTAAAGATCTTTGTGCTAATCACTATGGTAATGCTAACTTGTATTGCCAGACCATTCAAAAATCTGAGTTCTAATCATGAAAAGTCAGATGCTGAATTGTGGTGCGGTCTGCACACCCAAGGGCAGAATTTTGCCTTTAAGCTTTAAAAAAACCTAGCTAGACAAATGGAGTCTTCCAGCGTAATTTATATGTAATTGCATAGTGATGATATAAACTAATACTGAAAAATACGTGCCTTTAAATTATTTATTTTTTTTTACTGGAATAGTGTGAAAGCATCTTTGGGTACATCATGTACTTTAGAGAATTTGTGTTCTTCTCACAGAAATCTAATGCTTTTCATTTTTCTTAATCATTTTCTGGAAGATAATTTGCGTCTGTACACTTGTGGCTTACAGAGCAAGGCTAGCATGTACATAGCTCTTCTGGGAGGATGGCTCAAATGCCTGCCCTGTGTTCTGCAAGAGTCCTTGTACTCATTCTGCATTTGTTCTGCCAAACAGGCTGCTGCTTCATCTCTTCTATGCAGCAAGTTTAAAATCTCATCATGTTTATGGTCCTCACTTGTTATTGTTTCTCCCAAGCCAGCCTCCTATTAGTGACTTCACTGCTTCTGCCAGTTCCTTAGGTGGAGATGGCTTAAGTGGGTGTAACCAAAATGAAAAATGTAGCTAAATTGGGTGATTCAGAGTAGGATGAGATAATGTGGCAACTGACACTATTTTAAGCATTCTTGTTTTGTTCGTCTGACTTTGAATGTATCAGACGCTAAAGAAAATATAACGGTAATTGTCATCCAGTTTCTCACATATGTAGTCGGGTTGTAAATCAAAAGATCTGCATTACGGAGATCTGAAATAAAGAAACACAGGCAAGCTTATAACTCTGAATTTATGTCTTGTCTTAAATGTATCGGCATGAAGAAAACCAAGCTCCTCTCAGAAGAAACAGAAGGGAAAGAATATGGTTAAATGTGGTGTCTTTGAAGTGTTTCTGTTATGCCCGCTTACTATGCTTCTGCTTTCTCTACCCCTAGCTTTCTTTGGAAAGTACCTTAATGAATACAATGGCTCCTATGTGCCTCCTGGTTGGAAAGAATGGGTTGGATTACTTAAAAACTCTCGATTTTACAACTACACACTCTGTAGAAATGGAGTAAAGGAGAAGCACGGATATGACTACTCCAGGGTAGGTCCTATTGATTTATTTCTATTTTTTTTAACGTTTGGACGTCACCACAAGAAAGCTGCGCTTTATGGTTTCAGTATGACTAAAGAATTCTTTTCGTCCTTGAAAGGTGCTACATGTAACATTATCTACAAGCCAATAGGCATCGTGTTTGGACTTTTCCTTAGCTTCCATTCCAGGAGGGTCGTGTTACTGCAAACATTATTAGCAGCAATGGAAACAAACAGGATGTTCTGAGACTGTGGTATATATTATGAGCTGAAGCTGTGAAAATGGATTTAAATGCTGCATCATAACTATTTCTGTGCTTTGCACTTTAATTATTGTGTGCTGAGTCTGATATCATCTATTCCCCTGGTAGAGAACTGACTCCAGTGGAGTTACACAAGCATAAATGAGACAAGAATCCAGTTCCCTCCAGCTAGACCCATCTTTTTGTGTTAGTTTAAGGAACTGGTTTCACAGCCATAATATGCTGGAGAATTCATAATATCTTGGTATATCTTATGATAATTCTGAATGAGTGGAGAATTTAACTTTTAAATTTATATCTCTGTGCATTGTTACAGGTGCATATGTTTCCTGATATCCTTGCAAGGATGTTATACCCTGGCCAAACTTACTAACATGCTTGATAATCATTATCAAATGCAGTATCATTTTTTCCTCATCCAGCACATGTTACAGCTCGGTTACCTGTTTGCAGTCAGGATTATGTTTGTTTCAGCCAAAAGTGTTACTTTTCCAAAGGAACCAGCTTTTGTGAATTCCTAAAATGACCTGAATTGTCTCTGAAGTATGATGATAAATAAATTTATCCATAAACTGCAGTAGTTTAAGTAGTGTATAACTTACGAAGTTGACTTGCTCTGGAGTGATACTAATTTGTAAGGTGTATTTGCTTAACAGGGAGTTGGTTTGCTTTCTCTTATTGAGTGCAAATCCTGCCTCCATATTTGTGTTTCATTAGCAATATGTTCACAGTCAGTCCTTTAAAAGGTTGATGCCTGTGTGATTTCCCCCTTCCCTTCCCCTATTTGCCATTTTTAATTGAATGTACTTTGTGTCGAAAGGTAAAACTTCACAGGCTTCTGGGGTTTTCTTTTCTGTCACCAGCTGCTAAGGGGAAGGAGCAACTGATGTACAGAATTATTTGTCTTTTATTTTCCCTCTGTTCTATGAAGAGTGAGAGAGCTAATCTTTGCACCCATGTACCGAAAATGTAATGATGGAATTGTATCTTATGTGGAACAACGTCAGGCAGGTGATTTCGTAGGGCACTGTTCCCCATGGTACCAACGACCCAACAGGGAACTTTATGTTCCAGTATCCTCAGCTCTGTTTTGTGTATGCAGTACTTGAGAATGTTTAGGTTTTCATTTGGTTTAGTTGTTCTTAACAAGTTTGGTAATAAACAAATAAATAGTCTGATGAAAATATAAATGTTTTGATAGTCTTCATACGCTTGCATAATACCCAGCTATGGTAATAAACAGATGATGGTGTGCAGAGCAATGGCACCTGTTGATGTTAACACTGGAATTCAAATGAACGAACAGAAGATGAAATACAGGACTGCTTCTCTTTCTTTCCTGCCATTTTTGTTGCTGGAAACTTGTAGTTTTTAGCCCTATGTACTTGACAATTTTAATTATGTCTCAGTGGAAAACTAGAAAAAAGCATTACTGATTCTGTCCTCCAAAGCGACTGCTAAGCACTTACCCTCTGAAAATCAAATCTTTGCAAATTCTTTCAGATTTTATAACAATATATATTCTACTTTGATTTTTTTCTTTTTCAGTTTCTGTCAACTTTTTTAGATGAATTTTTAGTTTTGTATGCATTCGTATAGTCTACTGCAACCTCTAAAATCTGGAGCTTTAAAAAAAAAAAAGAAATCAGTTAAGGGAAATGTTTCTGTTTGGTCTTTTTGCCTGGTAAACACTGGTTTTGCAATGTTGAATTTGAATGATTTTCACTTTGACCAGTTGAAAACTTTCATCTTCAAAAGGAAGTTTGAAAACTATGCTCTTGTAACGGCTAAATAAAAAATGAGTTACACACTTAAGAAAGTGAGCAACAAGCTTAAAGAACAGGCACATTTTAGATAAATGTCAGTGCACTTTTGAGAGCACTCCAGTATTCTCTCTCAGCTCTGAGTATGGTCTCAGGTATTGAAAGTACGCTCAGAAGTCAATTTTGCTTTGGTCTGGCTTATTTTACATTCTCCCTTCCCCTGCATATGCTTATGAATGGAGGTCTTTCAGTTAGCTTTGATGGAATTATGCCTATTTACACCTGCTTTCATGAGTGAAACTATCATATCCATAACAGTCATAATCCTGGCAGTTTCATAATATACACGCCTCATGTTGGGACCAATGTGTAAAATTATAAATGGAGACTTTGCCAGCCTTGTTATGGGATACACAGGAAATAACTTGGGGAAAGTAAATACAGTCAATGAAAAAGGCTTCCTTTGGTGACTGGTAAGCTGCCTTCTCAGGCCAAGGACATCAGCAGTGGGAAAGAGAAGCAAGTGTCTGAACCGCAGACAGAAAGCTGTACGTAAAAGGAGATGCAATCCAGTATGTACCACACCTTGTTCTTGTTCACTTGACCAGAGGCAGGTGTTATGTCTGTTTTATACATTCAGATGTGACATGGCAGTTATTATTTTGTTTTTTAAAGGTGCAGTTTTGTATCCTACTCATGTTTGAGGGTTATTATTGCAGCATTTCCTGTGATGCAGCCTAAGAGAGAACATGGCTTGTCATTAACTTTACTGTCTTCAATCCATATAACTCCAGCAGATATCAGAAGAATGATAATGATACTTCTTAGAAAATGGAAAGATACTCCATAACTTGCAAAGGAAGTTTTCTAAATTCTCAGCAATTTATTTGATAGTCTATATCTCTATCAGTCACCATGTCTGAATATTGAATTTAATGTTTGGTCCACTTAGCCCAGCATCTTCTAGCTTTAGTGACTTCTGGTTCAGCGGGAGGATAAGAATAATGAACAAAACAGACTATACACCTTGAAGATATTGACACCCAAAAGTGTAGAAATTGACCTGTAATTTTCTTTTTTTTTTTTTTTTGATAACTGGTCATTGTATTTAGTATTGTGATCTGCATAATGTAATTACACACTCTGAGAAGAGAGAGTCCTATTTTATCTTTTTTATTGTTTAATGAGAGGAAGCTGTTGCTTTTCATATTTCTAGGCAGCAAAAAAGAACGATTTGGTTTTAGTTTTTGAAGTTCTAACATCTGTCACTTACTCCCTCCTCCTCCCATTCTGAGTGAAGTAGCTTCTTTTTTCCTATTTCTTGTGATACCTCAGACCTCCCCTTCCCATCTCACCCCCAAACTTGAAATTATTTTTCAAGTATCTCATTATACTTTTACTTCTACTTGCAGGATTATCTAACTGATCTGATTACCAATGACAGTATTACCTTCTTCAGAATCTCAAAGAAGATGTATCCTCACAGGCCTGTACTGATGGTTATAAGCCATGCTGCTCCTCACGGCCCTGAAGATTCAGCCCCTCAGTACTCACATCTCTTTCCTAATGCCTCACAGCACATGTAAGGAAAGATAAAACCCTTTCATTTCCAGGTTCAGGAGTATAGAAGTCCTGGGTGCCTCTGGGGGAACAATGTTTGCATTATAATACTCTTGGCCTAAGTTTGTCACAACTATATAAGAAGAGTTTTGAGATTTTCGGTTTTTTTATCTCTTCAGACTACTTTAAGTATCTTGAGAACAGCTACTGCATGTAGAACTGGGAATTGTAGCTCACTGAGGTAAATGGAAAGATTCATGTTGGATTCGTTGGACGTTGTTACAACCTATTTGGGAAGTAAAGCACTGTTATGCTTTGAGCAGGGGGACCAAAATCTGGTTCTTGGGCTGTAATTTCTTCACGGGAAGAAACTCTACCTCCCTGTCCTTATGTATTATTTTATGAGCATTACCAAAAATCACGTAGTATGCAATACTTATTACTCGCATTTCGTATACGGAAAGAAAGGAAGTACAGGCCTGCAGCACCAAATGAGACAAGCTATTTCTGAATGGGCTGGTGTGTCTGTACATGACCCAGTGCAATGTCTTGAATAGGTCCCAAAAGCAGTCTCACCCGGTTCCTGAGTTAACATGTTCATAAGCTCCGTGATGAGATGGTTTGTGTTTATAGCACAGAGACATTTTACAGGTAGGGCTCTTTAATGCTCCATTACAGGCATCTCCTCGCAGGCTGATAAAATGAATGTTCTCCCAAATCACCTTTCGGCACAACTGAAAACATTCCAACGTTTTTATAATTACTGGCTACATACCTTCATTGATGTTCAGCATTTATAACTTTCTTCCAATGTGCCCTTTTTTATTTTAAGGGGAATTCTGTTTTATTTTGGATTTGTGAATGAACTGGGAACTGATGGAAATATTAATCAGTTGGTAGCCAAAGCTGCTCAAGGCTAGTCCAAAGTCCAGTGAAATCCATTTGAGCTTTTTCACTTTATTTAAAATAGAGTCTGAGTGTAAAAGCTTCATTTGTTCTATTGTCTAGGTATTGCATAACTTAGAATTATATATTTCATTATTTTGTGCTGTGTAGATCTGTGTCCTAGATCTACAGCAATGCAGTATTTCGCGTTTGTTTGCCATCTTATGTGTATTTATTTTCTTTGAAATGAAAATTACAGAAATGCCAAATGAACAACTTCCTATAGCTTATACCCAGTATTGACCTCAGTCTTATTAGAAGTTCCTTTGGAAGGCAATTGTATCTCGGAGATGATAATCATTTATCAAGCAACGTTCTGTAGCAATTTAATGATGCTAGTAGGATGAAAAGCAGTAGAAGGATTTGTGGAAGGCCAGCAATGAAAAATATGAGCTACATCTACTTTTTCTTTTGCTCATAGTTTAAATCTTGTGGGTTTTTTTTTTTCCACACAAACTAGGTTTATCTTCCTGATTATAAAGTAGTTACACAAAACTTTTTTTTAATTGTAGGTGACTTTTCTTACAATGATTACAGTTATACAGGAAGAGTCACTTTGTGGAAACAAGTTTTGTTTGTAAAGATACAAATTATCTCAGTAGATTAAGGAACTGTGTTTTTCTTTTGGATATGAACATAAAATAGGATTTTAAGTACATCTTGTGCAAAGAAACTGTCAATCTTGCTCTAAACAATTTTCCCGGCGCTACATAATAATAATAATCTGTAAGGCTTCTCATTGGCCTGGGTTTAAGATTAAATGTAAAAATGCAGAGCGTGCATCATTCCCTCACTGTATGTACAAGTTAGTTCTCTGCTTTCAATTTTTTCCCTTGTTCCCACATTCCAGGGAATCCCTCAGTGACAGATAAATCTGTCAATGATAAAGGGGTGTAGACAGTTCTCACTGTTTTGTTGTCACATGGATATGGCAGGGAAGGATCAGAGCACAGGTAGAACACTTATTATGAATTGCCCGAGAGCAATACCCTGAACAAAGTCTTTGCCTAGCCCCAGAATCAGAAGGCCGTACACCATGGGGCATGTCTCTGTACCTCTTCTTGTGGTAGCGCTGACAGAGTCTGCAAGTGGATCCTTGAGCTATATCCACAAAGCGAAGTGAAGGTGTGACTGTAGTGCTTACACTGGTTGACGTACATACTGCATTGTGTAGCATTGCTAATAATAGCTAAAAGTTAGTCCTACGGATTTTAGCATAGACTGACAGTCAGAGCACTTTGCTTGGGAACTCTGGTATGTACTTCTGTTGCTAATTTATGCTGTTGTTCTCTTGCTTCTATTATTACATGTACTAGCTGGTATGACCACTCCACCCTACGCTGAAGTCTCTCTCCATCTCGTTCTGTCGTGTGCATCTGCAGTCTTTTCTTGTTTGAAAATTATTCACATCAACCAGCATTCCCATAGCAAATCCCTAGGCTACATGGCTGGTTTTCCTTTTTTACTGCCTATACTGATAGCTGTAGAGAATGCAACAGCTGGGCAGTTTAACAGCCATCAGAAATGTTACTTCTATAGAGGGTGCTAAAATATACCCATCTTTTCCAAGGTCAAATGCAATCAGACTAGGACTTATCTTCTGAGTACATTTGAAGAGGTTATCTTAACCAACTTCTAGGAATGTTATATTTGTGTATTTTTCCCGTAAGACAGACAAATCTGTTAAGTGTAAGAGGGTTACATTTGTAGTAATCAAAGAAAATCACAGGCTTTGGTTGGATTAAACAGCGGGAGGTTTCAAATCAGCCAGGAAATCACAAAGTAAGCTGAAAAGGAGTTTGCCAAGCATTTTTGATTCATTCTGGGCATCACATAGCAACAGTTTCCATAACTGTCAGCATTTTCAAAGGAGCAATGTCATTATTTCAGCCACAATAACATTCTGAAATTCAAGAGGCTATTAACAATACAGAGAGAATAAACACCAGCCCTTTCCTCCCTATATGAAGAAGCCTCCATTTGCCGCCTACACACATTTTTCAGATAGCATCTAACAGTGGCTTTCGGCATAGAACATTTCATTGTCAGATTATTAATTTCATGTTTAGATTAAAACTCTAAAGACTACCTGTCGTATTCAGAGACATTAGATACACAGTATTTTAAGGAGAAGTTTCAACTTCTATTACGATTTTTTATCTTAATAACTTACCCTGCTGCATATGCAAAACCAACAGTAGATATTTGCCAAATAAGAGCTGAGTTTATCAGGAAATTTTGTGTTGGGAAGAAGAAAATAACTGAATATCTACTATTTTTTCCTGTGTTTACTGTGTCACCCTCTTGGCTTGCACATTTGCATAGGCTGAATTCATTGCTTCGAATGAAAAAAGGAAGCCTCAAAAAATCACTTCAGAAAAGTAATTTTTACTATTTTAGATTCTGCAGGTGATGTGTTTGAGCCAGGGTATGAAGAAACTGACAAAGGTGGTTCTCAATATTAAGTAATAACAAATTTTTTAGTAATAGATATAGTAGGTAAAAATATTATTTCTTGCAAATGTAAGCTATAATATAGCTTTCTAGTGAGTTGGACATGATGCAGAAACTCAACATCATGGTAATGATATATCAAATTTAATCTTTTCTTTAGATCCAGCTAACCTAGAGCAATACAATTATGCACAGAAAAGCAATCTCTGGAACTGCCAACAACATGAAATTATGGACAATAAGTGATATTTATCCTCATCACTTTAATGGTGTCCCAGGAACACAAGAACTTGGAGGGGCAGCGCGATTCCAGGAGGACATTGAATCCAGCTCTTGGGATTTTGCAGGAACTGTAATTAAAGTTTCTGTTTGTCACAAAGGAGTTGGTGGCTGGAAAGTGTCTGCAAAATACAGTCCTAGTTCCCCTCAGCCCTGCTTTTCTTGGCAGGTCTTTAAAATCTGGCTATGTATCCACTTCTGCTTGCTGTGAGCTCACAGGCAGTTTGATACACTAGGTAGGGTGCCTGTGCTCCTCTAGGTGTGAGTGTGAATGTATTCAAGTAGCCAGTCACACTGAATTCAAAAAAGCCATTTAAGAACGTAGTCGAACCTTTTCAGCAAGTTTTATGGTTATTATTAACAGCTTGTGCAAGCCATAATATTTGGTGCTAAGGTGGGCAGAGTGAAAGCAAAGCAATTACATGAGCAGGAACCCTATAGTACATGCTTCATCCAGATCGTACTTGTGGAGTTAGGCTTCTCAGGCTAGTCTCTTGGCCTTGAAATGTAGCCATGTTAGTCTGAGGACACTGCAAAAGCAATGTATACTTACTCTTCAATAGATTTTATTGCCCACAGAGTTCTTTTCATTCTCACATCTTTCATACAGAACATAAAAGTGTAAGACTTTTCCAAAGTAAATCTAATATTTTCTTGTGTGCCTCAGAGAGTAAGTCCTATAGTGTTGATCAAATAGAAATTATTGGTAGACATTACTATGACTTTTTTCTACACTGCTAAAACATGCTGGTTTTCTCTCTGTTCCTTAGCACTCCCAGCTATAACTATGCTCCAAACCCAGACAAGCACTGGATAATGAGGTATACAGGTCCCATGAAACCTATACACATGGAGTTCACCAACATGCTACAGAGAAAGCGCCTTCAAACACTCATGTCTGTGGACGACTCCATGGAGATGGTAAGATTAGTAGTCAGTTATTTTGGCTAAACAAATCTTGAGTTAAGATCCAAGCTGTGCTGTATATGAAGATAAGGGGGGAACAAAGGAGGATGAGGAGGATGACTGCATCAGTTTCTTAATAGTTTGTAATCCTCTCACCTCTGAGGATTTTGTGTTCCTATTCAATGTGTAAGGATCCTCATCTGCTAAAGACAGGTACTGTGAGTTGGGTGGTGTGAGGAGCTGATTTGTTGCCGCAGAGCCACTACTGATGAAGGGGAAGAGGGAGGGATCACCTGAAAAAATGTACATCATAAATTCTAAAGATGTATCATCTGATAGTGAAAAGTCATCCTACAAACTGTTGGAAATAACTACCTGACCGTGTGCCTATTTTGATGCTGTAACACTGAGTTTCTGAAAGAAGAACAGCAGCAGCAAAAAATGATGCTACAGGAGTCCTAACTAGAATGATCACATGGTAAACCAGGCCCATGATGTTAAATAGTAGAAGTAAATAAATATATAGGTAATTTTCTTTTTTAATTAAGTGCATAATGTAATAATAAAATCTCTTAGTGCAAGCTGGGTGTCTTGAACAGAAACATCTGAATTAGCTAAAAGCTACTCTGAAAAAGAATGGGTTTCCAGTTGTAAGAAGGCAGATTTAAAGGTGTTGCAATTTACTGCTTATCTCTTGGCATTCTTATTCAAAAAAGGCAGAACAGAAAATAAGAGAGTCTTGTAAGGCAAAGATGAGATTATCTGGATGGCATTGCATCAACTTGCTCGTAATGTCTTTTAATTACTGATTGAGGCAAGTATGAGCTCTACTTCACATTAATGAACCTGGTTAAGTGGATCAGATACAGCATTAGGGGAGATCAGCTATTTCACTCCACTATTTTGATTTTTTGTTTAGTAAAATGGTTTCGCTTTGGGTGATCTACTGCAGGCAAAATTAGTTGTTTTGTTTTTTAGTTGTAATTCCCACGTTAGCCTGATCTTTTCCAGTGAATTATATCTATCACTCTTTCAAAATTTGAAAAAAAAAACCAAACCCAACCAACTCAAGCCCACAAACAAAACAACCCAAAAAGGAATCAAAGAAACCCCAAACCAAAACAACAAGAACAAGAGTTTGTTTTCTTCTGTGCTGATGTGTTCTGAGTCTGTGTGAGGTACCACTTTGGTGGTGAAGGTGAAAATATCACATAAAAATTGATCTTTGGTGCTCAAGTTGGTACGTGTCACATAAAAATTCTTGTGTAAATCCATAGAAGCAACCACAGAGTTAAAGCTCCTCTTGATTCTCAATGTTAGTTCTCCAGCTAGTGAGAGACTACAACTGAGTGGTATTTCTCTGGAAGAGATTTTGCAAATATTCTGCATAAGGGGGACTCATTTGTCTGAAGGCAAGATCATTGAGTGTTGCTTAAATAAGTGAGATTCAAAATATTGTCATCTTATTAAAATTGTTTGCTGCAGGAAAAAGAAGTGGAGAGAAAATTTAAAAAATGCTTATCACCTTGAAACTTTTCTTTCCGTTACTGTATGTCTTTAGTACTGTCTTGACAGCTCTCGCGCAAAATACTGAACCCAAACACTTTTGAAAATGTCATGCTACTGTGTTTACCTTAAAATGGAAAACAGAAGTTTGCCTTGTAATAGCCACAATATTCAGTTAATAAAATTATTAGGTGATTATGGATTATTCAGAATGGATCATTGTGATATCTCAGTGTCATCCTGAACTGCTGTTATTTATTTGTATATTAGACATAGGCAGAGAAATATATCCAGTATTCTACATACAGTATTACTCAGTGGAATTAATTTCATATTTTGTTTTCCTTTTTTTCAGATTTACAATACACTGGTTGAAACAGGGGAACTGGACAATACATATATAATATACACAGCAGACCATGGTTATCATATTGGTCAGTTTGGGCTGGTGAAAGGAAAGTCCATGCCATACGAGTTTGATATCAGAGTTCCTTTCTATGTCCGAGGTCCAAACGTGGAGGCTGGGTCCTTGTAAGTTCTTGGCTATTGTGTGTTTGTGTACGTATGTGTATGTAATTAGGAGAAGAATCCTTTATGTTCACATGTCTAGTCGTATTGACTTGGCATCCAAATAGAGGCACAAACTTCTGCCCATCCTGACTGACTTCTTGCTCATCTTTGGCAGAAAATATGCCTACTCAGAAAGCAGAACTGGTAGCATGTGCTGATGTAACACAGGCAAGGGTTTATGCCATTGCCTTTTTGCTTGTGTATGCACAGCACAAGGCAGTAGGCTTTTGTGGATGTAGTTGAAAAAGCCACTCTGAAATATGTCCAATCCAGGAGATGCTTATTTGCCGCCTTTTGAGGCATGCAAATAATACACATAACTACAGCTTTTTCGAGGTAAAAAATACATTGTATAATGTTCACCACCACAGTAGATAATTATTGCTGAACACTTAAGTGGAGTCACTTGTTTCAGTTTATGAAGAATGTACATAATAGTTCATATATTATCATCCATAAAAGATTCTTTTTGGTTCATCCTTTGAGATTACATAGTTAGGGCTGTTTGTTGGATGCACGCAAGCATGCAGAATATGACTGTTAATTAAAATGGTAGCTTTGATCAGCTAAGAAATTATGTAAATACACTTTCTAAGCAATTATTTCAATAGCAAATATTTGCACTTAAGTAATGATTTTGGACAGAGTGCCATAATTTGCTGCCTTTTATTTATATCAGTGTGCATGTTTTAGCATAATTAACACACGCGAAGTCTTCCACACACAATTTTTTTTCTTTACCGCAGAGGAGCAGATCTAGTGTGTAATATGGTAGCAACTAGTTATTAAAAAATCTCATTCCATTTGCTGGTTAAATTCACTGATTCACATTATCAGTAGGCACAAAAATGTTAAATTCTGTAAATGCTGCACTATGCATCTAATTTATTTACAGCAGTTATGCATGTGAAATAAACAATATTACTTCTCTGAAGAGCAGGGGAGGGATTGCTCAGGTGGAATTAAACATATTACCTCAGCACTGAAAAAAGTTTGTCTGCAGCAGCACCGAATTTCAAGTGAGCTGCATTAGCCTTCTAAGAACGTGCTCTCTTTCTTTTTGACTGCAGTTTTTGGTCTTACTGGAGAGGCAATGCTGATACAGCCCAAGTAGGCTGAGCTAGGTTTTCTGCAACATGCAGCACTAGAGACCAGCCGCCTCATGTCTGCTCTAGTTCAAGGATCTTTACACCCAGACACACGTAAAAGCTGTGAAACCTTCCCACTCAATTTTATTTTTCAATGGCTTCTGAAGATGAAAAAATATTTCTGTTGGGACGAGAGGAGTCACCCTGACAGTCTAACAGAACAGAGCCCATCACAGTACAACAAATAGGAAGAACAGGATAAAATACCTTGGAGGGGGAATGTATCAGATAATAAATTGATCCTCCTTTTCAGCCTGATTTTCTTTAAATGGCAGAACTTCCATCATCCATGTTTTGTGCGAACCTTATGTTTTTCCCGCAGAGTAATTGTCATGACTCCCTTTCGATACCAACGAAGATTTAATAGCAGTCACTGTAGCAAGTCATTACTAAGCTCTCATTTCTATTACCAAATATGCTACACCACAATTACTAGTAATTAAAATCAAATTAGGTACATCAATTTAATTCATCATCCATGCTCTTGTCAGTGCCTGTTTGCTCGCTTGTTCAAAAATGTAGTAATTTTTAAATGGTGTCTCATTAATTAGTGTGAATTTAGCAGCTTTCTTCTGTCCTGTATTTTGAGCTAGAATTCTGCACTGACATGTATAGCCGCCCATCTGGTCCCGTCCTTCCTTTGTGCATGCAAATCATGGCACGGTGGTTCTTTATGTTCAGTGCTGTAGAAGACTGGCTGCATAGCAGTATGCTCACTTTCTTTTTTTTCCCTACTTTTAAGAAATTGAGTGCCTGCCTTGTCTTTTTTTTTTAAAGAAATAAGGAAAAGAAATAATATATAGCTAATAAACAAAATATGTATATATGTAATACTGTGGGTAATTGCACAACACTGTCATAGACATATTTGAAATGAGTTTTAAGGTTCAACATAAACTGAAAACAATTCTGCAAAACCAGACCCATAGCAAAACCAAGTCACATGATTAGAAATTTGGGCATTTGTTTAGCTGCTGAATGCTGGGCTGTGCAACCAGATGCTCTGATGCGTGAACTCACTTACATTTAGCTGTGGTAGTTCAAGGGATTTGGGGAGAGGGGCTGTCTCTGCTACTCAGGAGCTGATGCCAATGTTTTAACCAAATTTGAAATCAGTTAAGGTTCAAATATTGTCTTCTTAACTGTGGTGGCTGAGGGCCATGTGCCATACTCTGCTAAGTAACAGGGCACGCCTCTTTGCAGAATGGGTAACTGTACGCTTGGGAAGATTGGTATCCTTTCAATTAAAGCTGTACTTTTATTTTCTCTCTCTTTTTTTTTTTCCCCTCCATAACTGCTTCCACTCTGCTTTTTCTTCTCTGATCCCTTTCCTTTTTCTGTCTCAAACTGTACAGTAACAGCAGCTTTTAGTTATTTACTGTAGTGTCTAGCAATATATTTCTTCTCTTCAGAACACGCTTGTTGTGATATGAGCTGAGGTACTTATTTCTATACCATATTTTGGAACAGTTGAAGCATGTGTTACCTGCCAAATCTACTTTTTTATAAAGTCATCGGCATATTTGGAAGACGCTTTGATTATATAAATAAGACACCCAAGGAGTTTTTCAAATGCTTTCTCATGTTTTGAAATACTTTTGAACCCTGTTTTACAATAATTAACTAACTTTGCCTTATGAACTACTTTGTTTTCTCAAAAATACTCTGTGCTGAAGTATTAAATCTTCATATTAATCCCTCTTGAGGTTATGCAACTTCCCTATATTTTACATTTTAATTCCCTTCATGGAAAGGAATTGGATTATGTCCTCTTTTCTTTTTTGCAGATTTCACAAAATAAGCCTTTTCAGATCCCTGGTCTCTGTGGAAGAGCTGGAGTTGCTTGGTAGCATTGCATAGACTTTAAACCAGGTTCTTGTATATGTTTTTTCAGGAATCCTCACATTGTGTTGAATATTGATCTTGCGCCTACAATTCTAGATATTGCTGGGTTGGATATTCCGTCTGATATGGATGGTAAATCAATTCTAAAGCTTCTGGATTCTGAGAGACCCGTGAATAGGTAAGAAATGGAAATGTGCGTGTAAACATGGATGTGTTTGTACAGGAGACTGAGCAAGGATTCAGCAACGTGCAGCAAATTTAAAGGAAAATATAATAAAATTACTATCTATATGAGTACGTATTTCTCTGGAAAATATTAAGACCTATTTGACAGTATGTGACTGACTTCAGTTACTTATTTTCATTTTGTCAGGGTCACATGCTAGCTATGTGGCATGTATGGCATCTGGATATACTAAACGTAATCTGCGTAGCAGTGAGGGCTACACAGGAAGGTCTTCAGCCAGATGAGTTACAGATTTTAAATGTCTCTGTGGCATCATTTGTAGCAAAGCATTTCATATCGGATTAATTGTAGAATAATTGAGTTGAAAGGATTGGTTGTGTATTAGACTAGAATATAAAGACAGGCTAGCACTCAGAATCACAGCTATTATTTGAGACCTTACAACAATACTTTCATTGGAAAAAGACTGAGGAAGATAATCTGACTGGACACTTGCTAGAGAAAATTAGCAGAAAAAGGGAAGAAAGAGATTTGCTTTACAAGTAGCTGGGTGGAGAGAGAGGGGGAAAGAGCAGCTGCTTTAGAATGCGATACTTTGGGGGTAGGGTGCAGGTTAAGAGCCCAAAATGGAGTCAGGAAATCCTGATTTAATTTGCGATCCTTTGTGATCAAGGACAATTCAGTTAATCCCCTGTGCCTTAAACGTGCTTATGTTGGGATAGTTGTACTGTGTGAATTGTTGTGAATTTTGTCCCTGTGAGAACAAATCTATCCTCTGTTTGTTCGTGATTTGCACTGGAGAGGCACCTGTGACTGCTTCATAGAGCTGGATGTCCCCTTGTGCAGTTATATGTAATGTTTCTCATCTGAATTGGGGGTCTGAGAGAAAACCGGGGCATGACTTGAGGTCCTGTTTTACCTGCTTTTGTGGGAATTGCTTCTTCCTCTCCTTGTTTCCTCCCAGGTTCCATTTAAAGAAAAAGATGAAGGTGTGGAGAGACTCGTTCCTAGTAGAAAGAGGGTAAGGAAAGCGTTAAGCACAAAGCTCTATTTTTAAATAGAATGATACTGAATAGCTAAAGCCAAAGCAGCACTCCACCACAGACCTAAAGCCATTTAGCTGTGCCAGCAGGGACAGGGCTGCAGTATGCCTAATGGCAGTGATTGTGTGATAGGAGGGGATGTATGGCCTTTGCCTACAGCCTGCATGGATGTGCTGTTGGGGTGGGGGAAGGGGAGTTTTACTTGGATTGAGAGATGGACAGGCATCCCGTTTTTCTTTCAGCTGCTGCTCGACCCCCCTGCTTGTATCATGGGAGTATGAATAAGGCTATTCCTCTCTGCGTGTTCATCTGCTGGCCATTCCCTCTGTGCCTCTGCCTTAATACGTAACACGGGGCATGAAAGGTTTGCAAAGTGCAGCCCTGTAGAGTGAGGAGGATATGGTCTCTATATCGGCTGTTGTTACTGCCTGCCAGTCAGACCTGAAACACACTGTCTGGGTTTTGTATGTTTTTGTACGCTCCCTGAGAGCATGATATGAATAAATTTTGTGTTATCAGAGATGATGATAAGTGCTAGTTTCTACTAGACTATTAAGTTTTGGCCATCAAGTGATGCTACGGACTAAGCAGATACCCTACTCCTCCTTTTCAGCAAACTGTATATGTATTAATATATGCATATTAATGCAAAAATAAGTCTTTTTTTCATTTCTTTTTTTCCCCCCAGTAAACTACTGCATAAGAGGGAGAATGAAAAGGTAGATGCCCAAGAAGAAAACTTTCTACCCAAGTACCAGCGTGTGAAAGACCTCTGTCAGCGAGCTGAGTATCAAACGGCTTGTGAACAGCTTGGCCAGGTAGGGCATTGCACCCCTGACTGAAAGTAAGCGGTTGTAGTTGGGCTAAGCTTCACACCTTAACTGTGACAAAGTCCTTCACCTTGTCGTCAATGCCACCTTATAAATCAAATGGCTTATTCTGCGGCCTTTCTTCAAAACTGTATTACAGCATTTATGAGCTTGAATGTCAGTCAGGAAATTGCTGATTCAAGTGCCTTCTGTATTGATTCCTGGCTACTGTTAAGAGAACTGCCTATGCTGTTTTAACATTTTATTACCCAAAACAGAATGTGGTTAGGATTCATTAGTATTGAGAAGCTACAATGAACCAAATCGGCCTCCTCCAAATACATACAGCTCCCTTTGCTTTAAATTCTTAATTTAACTCATTTTGTTGCTATTGTTTGGAATTACATATAATAATGGAAAACGTGTTTTGTGAGTGCAATATATCCCTCCTCTTAACAAAAATATACTGTGAAAACACCCATGCAACTATGACTGGAGGCAGCCTATGTGTATATGGGCACAAAGCTCATTGATTGTGTGTCATTTCTCTTGTTACCTAACTGCTCTGGGCAGATATGAAAATATGCTCACTTTAGATCCAAGTTATGTAGAAGAAAAACGGGAAAAAGCAATTTAGGGTAGTATGAATACATGGTCTCAGCACAGAAGAAGGTTTTGCAAATTTACCACAGCAGTGCAAAGGCATAGCAAAGCCATCTCCAGCAGCTCCACACTTGGGGAGATTTCTCCACTCCTGGGGAGATTCCCATCCTCTGGAAACATGGCAAAATTGACTCTGTGCCATTGCTTTCTCGTCCAGGTACCAGTCAGAGTACCTCCTTCCGACGACTGTAACACATTCTGCCTGTGGACATGTGGACAAAAGGATGAAGGTAGATGGGTCCACATGCTAATGTGTCTGTTATTAGACTGGCATTACCTCATATCCTGGCAGCTCAGAGGGCTGTCAGAATACATCAGTCTGTGGAATATAACCATTCTTGCAGACATGATCTGAATGGCTTACCAAGGCTATAGTCAGTAATGGGCTACTTAGGCTACAGTAGTTCATTTTCCACTGTTGGAGGCCAGACTCCCTGCTTCTGGCTCTAGCAGTCATGGAGTTCAGTGCACCTGTGAAATGAGCCCATTGTTCCTTAGGTGTTGGGATCCAATTTATACGTATAAGCATTTTCCAGATGCTTTTTTCCTCCTGTGGCTGCTTTGTCAGATTTAGTATACAGAAAGAGTATAATGTCCCGTTCTTCCTAAAAATACTGAACTGCAGTAGTTTATTGTCCTCAGATGTCTTGAGCTGAAATTTTAGATGGGTGGGAGCAAGCCATTGTTTTTTGAGTTTGCAGTGTTCTTTGAGAAACTGGGGGAAAAGTCATTGTTTCTACTACAACATCATCCAGTAAGTAGTTTGGGGAAATACAGCTTTTCTTTTTGCATCAGTATTTTCCCTTTGAGACATGTTTCAACTTCTTCCTTTTGTCTTCATCTTCCCAATTATTTTGAAGGCTATTGTAAGAACAGAGGGGAAGAGAGACTTTTTTCCAAGTCTGTGTTGTCACTGAAGCTGTCTCTTTGCATAAGGTAACTTAGCTACATTCAGGCTTTCTTACTGTAATTACCACGTGTCTCAGTTATGGAATAAAGGGGGAAGGCCTTGTATTGTCTTACATGCGTTCACAGGCTTATGTTTTCTTCCATGGATAATAAAATATCTTTGACATCTGTAAGAAGTGGGCATAAAATGTCAACTCCATATTCAGAATTGCCAATAAATTCTGAAGCAAAGGTGTGCTAATAAGAAATCAGTGTGCTGCATCCTCATTGTCAGGAGACAGAGAGGAGAAGAATTGTTTTGAGTAGTTCAGTCAGATGTAATTGGAAGTGATAGGATGAAATTGAGCAAAAAAGAAATTTAAGTTGGACATCAGGAAAAATTGCCTAACAATCAAGTCAATTAGAGTCTGGGAAGGGCTCTCAAGGGAGTCTCAATCCATCTAACCCCTGCTCTAGAGAATATGTCCTAGTAGTCTGTCTAGACAGCGGGAATAGTGGGAGATGAATGTGCTTATTTGAGGATAAATTGTGTCTAAATATGGGTGCACCCAAAAGTCTTTTCAGAGTGAAGCAAGACTAACTTCTCAAATGACAAATGGATGTTGTCTGTTTGCTGGTGCCGTTCACAGCTCTGCATAGTAAGTAGAATGAGCCAAAATGAAAAACATACCACTGCCTTGGGAGAGTTTATGATATACAGATACACTGGTTATTTAGCAGATGTCTCCTGATCCTGCAGGACACTTTATTATTGTGCATTTAACAGTATCTGGAGTGCTTAGTGCAAAAGGTGAATTTTCTCATCCCGATGCAAAGATGAAGAGAAGCCTGGGTCAGAATTTAGGTGAAAGCTTGCTAAAGTCATTGGGACTCTTTCTTTTGACTCAAACAAGTTTTGGGAACCTGCTATTCCGTGCACAGAGAAGTCGGAGCAGTGCCAGGGAATCTGAAGTGCGATCAGGAGACGAGAAGGACGAATGAAGGACAAACACTAGGAAGGGCAGTGAATGAGAAGAATCAAGGGACAGAGCTTAGAGTAAAGGAGACGGAAAGAAAGCTTTGAATTGTGGGAGGGATAATTTGAAATTCTGCTTTGTTGAGGGTGCAAGTTTGTGAATACAGTTCTATCACCACAAAATGCTCTTCCTTTGCAAATCTCTGTCACCCTCCTTGACCTATAATCGTTTTGATAAGAGAGCACCAGGATCATGGAGATGAGGCTATTCACGCTGTGTAAAACCTTGTTTCAGAGTGCATTATGTGGGATTTTTTTGGCAACACTAATATATGTAAATTCTTCTGAGTGCAACGGGAGTCTGCGTGTTGCCATGTTTTCTTTTTCAGTTAGTAGGGTTTGGTCTGTGTTAGTTATTTGCATCCAACAAAGGGTGACTGTAGGCTCAGATGAAAGAGCAGCTCAGCATTTATATTCAAGGATTTAAGAGATGAGCTCTTTCTTCCCACATGAAATAAAAAACATTTATCCTCGTACCTAATGGCTTCCACACAAATTTTTTCTCTTCAGTGTAGTTCGGCTTTTCATTCTAAACTGGCTGTTAAGTGGAAGCTGACCCACTTTTATCTGGCGGCCTGCATTAATGTGCTTTTGTGGAAGCCAATTATGATATCAGCATTGCTCTGTAGAGTATTCCCAGCAACTCCACAGTATCATAACAACAGCTGCACAAAATCTCCCTCTAAGTCATTTGCCAACTTTGTGCACATTTGCTAAGCGTGCAATACCTGCAGCACTGCTGATTGCTATAGGGAATCTATGCTGTACGTGTGGAAAAAAATAAATAAAAAGTATTAATTTTATAGTACAGTAATATTACTGACTTGTAAAGGAAAATAATTTTCTGAATTCACATTCTTTCCCTTTCAAATCCTTTTTATTTTCAAAGCTCTATTTATGCGCAAATCTGATAGAAGTAGAATTTGCCTTTAAATAGTATTAGAAAATATCATTTTATGACAGTTTTCACCAGGAGAACATTAAAAATTGAAAAACTTGCACTTTCTTTCCTTCAGATGTTCTGCAAATGAAAGGTTTGATACAATCTTCGCTCTGATTGCTTTGTGATGTACCAGGATCAGGAAGGGATATTCTCTTTTGCTAACTGGCATGAAGATATCGTAACTAAAAGTATGTCACGTATGCGACTGGTCCCCCCAGTTATCTGACATAGCATGGCATAGCAGTGATGAAAACTATTCTGATCGGTGTGTGCTTCCCTACAGCAGTTCCTAAGCAGTACCTCTAGATCATATTTCTGCCACCATAATCAGTAGAAAAAATTACTTACATTTTCTCCCTTTCCTAATGGCACTGTAGCTTGAACTTACGTTAGCCTGACCTAGTAAAGTAAGTTGGGTTTTATAAACAATTTCTTTAAAAACTGGGAAGAAAGTTTTTGATCTGTGGATCTTTTGTGGTTGTCCGGATCTTTTGTACCTAGTAAGCTGAGGTTACTAAAGAATTTTTGTCCTGTTGATAAGTGAAGCATATCAAGCCAGCTAGAATCCAGATAGTTTTAATAGCTCATTAGGCAGATCTTTGGAGTTCCTGAGCTCCAGTGTGAGTTGCACATACTCAGCAACTTTCAGGATCCGGTTCTTGATCTGTGATTGCAACAAGAAATGACTTGTTGATAACTTCATACATTAAAAATTTTATCAGCCCTCAAACTGATAACATTAGGAGGCAACAAACCATGAAAATTAAAATCATGATGATTTATTAAGGGCTGTTATTCAAGGATTGTATTCCTTATCAAGAATTATAATTAACAAAATTGTTTTTCTCCTTTAGCCAGAAATAGCCTATAGTGATTTCCAGAGGCTATTTTACTTATGGCTTTTCTCACTTGTTGTTGCTTCACAAAACTAAGAAATTTGCATCTCTTGTTAACTGAGATTTTTAAACTCCTTGTCATTACAGTAGTAGATGTTCCAATTTGCTCACTAAAATCAATACTAACGTTTAATAAAGCCCCCCAGTTTTTCAAACGTCCAGGCACGAGTAGCAGTGTAGTTTAGTTCAAAACACAACGAGCTGGAGGTCAGGAGACTGACTTCACTCTCAGAACTGCTACAGACTCGATGTGGGACCTCAAACAAATCAATTCCCCTTTTGTTGCTGCTGGTTTTTTCCTCCACCGCTAATGTAATTTCTGCTTAGGCTGGACTCTCTCCTTAGCTTCTTCAGTACCTAACCACTTGATACCACAAACCAATTATTGTATTAATAATAAATGAATTATATAATTGTAACCTTAAATTTAGCTGAATACCTGATTTTTCATTTGCATGCTAGTTGATTGTCCCACCTGCCTCTCTTCAGCTACAGTTTGGGGCATTAAAAAACCCTCTAAATTTTCTGTCAAGAAATTTTTCATCCATCTTAGAATTTTAAGGTTTGAGTGATCTGTAGTGTG